TGGGAACACAGCTGCTCTTCCCTTGCCAGGACCTGCCAGGAATGGTTGCTTCCAAGGGTGATCAGATGAGCTGATCAAGGCTGGGAATGATTGGCCTATCATTGGGTGTGTTTGAGCTGTGTCCCCCTTAACTGGAGATACCCAAGGAAGAAATGGGACAGGCAGGAAAGGGGACCAGAGCAGCTCGTGTCGATCCAAACTAGAGAAGTCTCTATACCCCTCACACATCCCCACCCCCAGCAAGAGGCTGGCTAATGACTCCGGAGAAGGGCTGGTCCAGGACCAGGGAAGGAAAGATACACCCAGAATGTTGGCAGGCCTTCAGGGCCTGGAAGGAAAGGGGGAATCCACAGTGATCTAGGTCCCCTGTGCCCACGCTTCAGGGCAGCTCATTTTGCTCCGGGGTCACAGCAGTCCTGTGATCCGAGGGACTCATGGTGGTCTCCTTCTCAGGTGGGTCTGACTGGTCATAAGCAGGGAGTCACCAGTCAGCCAGGAGGCTGGAAGCTTCCAGCCCAGAAGGCAAAAGTAGCAGATCCATTGGGGGAGGAGGGATCCAGAATAGGGCCAGGGCAGGAGTCAAAAGGAGCATGCCGGCCAGTCATTCAATAAACACTTATTAAGCACCTACTATGTGTCAGGCACAGAGCTAAACACAGGAATTAGGCTATTGGACAGAGGAAGACCAGGCCAGAACAGGAACCCCTTACTTCCATAGCATCCAGAGCCTCTATCAATGTTAGAGATTCCATTCCTGGGCTTCTACCCCAAGGAGATCATTGGTAAAAAGAAGGGTCTCCAAAGACACCAAATTATTGATTGCAAATGATGATTAGCAAAGAATCAAGAGCAAAGTCGATGCCTATCGACTGAGGGACGTGTACACAAATCATGGTCCGTGAACATAATCGATCACTACTGCGCTACCAGGACAGCAATCATGCTGGATTCCCAGATATCTCCACCTGCTCAAAGAGTGGCTGGAATCTCATAAAATTACATTTGATACAGGCAAACGTGAAGTCTGGGCTCTCCAGCACCAGCTCCACAAGGACGAGACCCGGGGGCAGGAGAATGCTGGATGGTTAGACTAGACCCCGTCTGTAAGCGGAAACAAGGGAATGATCAAAGAGTGCGGGACTTCTGAGGAATTCTACCAACTCTTGGGGTTCTTATCTAGCTTACCCACAAAGGATGTGCCCAAAGGTACCTGCGGTTGGTGAATTTGTAAAAGACTTTACTCCCCTTTGTCTCCCTCCTCACAAAACACCCCCGTGCCCTGACTCCACCACACTGCTGCAAAATGGTCTGGGGTTCTGAATAGCCAATCAACTAACAAACATGTTTAGTAAGCACCTGCTATGTGCTGAGCGCTGTGCTGGGCTCTGGGGATCCGAGTACAAAGAATGAGACAACAATGCAAAAAGCAAAGCTGATTTCTTGGGCTGTAGTTACATATGTGCCTCAATTACTCATAATTTTAATAACAATATTGTTATAATATTTGTAATAATAGCTAGCATTTATATAGTACATTAAGGTTTGCAATGACTTTCATGTTGTCTAATTTGATTCTCACAACCTTGGGAAATAGGTGCTGTTATTGCTTCCATTTTACAGATGAGGAAACTGAGGCAGGCAGCAACAAATGACTTGCCCAGGTTCACACAATTAGTAAATGTCTGAGGCTGGATTTGAACTCTGGTCTTCCTAAATCTAAGTACAGTACGCTCTCCACCGTGCTCCCTAGCTGCTCCTAAGAATAGGATTGGGACCCAAGGGTTCTCACACCCCCTCAGAATCCTCTCCATCCCTCTGACTGGAGGGGACAGAGTGGACGTTGGAGAGCTCCCAAACCCTGCCCCATTTCCGGAGAGCACGCCCGTCATTTCCCACCTGGACTTCGCATTGTGCAGAAACTCCCCTTTCTGCAAGCTGAAACCAGCTCAGAAGTTCTCCCCTCCTCATTCGTTTGTGGCCCTGGCCTCCCGGCTTCATCATGCCCCATGCTCTTTTCAGTTTCTTCTCATGTCTTGTCTCCCCCTTAGACTGTAAGCTCCTCGAGGGCAGGGACTAGCTTGTGCTTTTCTTTGTATCCCCTGCCCTTCGCATGGTGCCTGGCACACAGTAGATGCTTAATAAGTGTTTTTTGACTCTAGTAGTGAAATAGAAGCATGTGGCTTCTTGCATCATTTTTTTTTGTTAGTGGGTGGTTTGTATGCTGTCGATACAGCCCATTAATATGCTGTTAGTTTAAAGGTGAGCATGGCTGCTTTTCTGTTCCTTGAGATCCAGAAGCTGATTAGGCCAGATTCCTAAAGAACAACGCATCTGAAAAAAATAGTGGAGATGAAGGCGTGCTCGCCTCAGCAGTGCGCTCAGCAGCGCCAAAAAGAGTCATGCAATCTGAGGCCATGAGAACAGGAACTCAGTAAACAGGAGTAGCCGAGGGCCTGAGTTCAAATCTGGCCTCAGACATGTATCAGCTGTGTGACCTTGGGTAAGTCACTTCACCTCCTGGTTGTCTGCCTCAGTTTCCTCAACTGCAAAATGGAGGTGATAATGCCTCCCTCCCAGGGTTGTTGTGAGGATCAGATGAGATATTTGTAAAGAACTTAGGCACAGGGCCTGGCACACGGTTTATTGTGGTTGTCTGGTCATTTCAGTCAGGTCTGACTCCTTGTGACCCCATCTCAGGTCTTCTTGGCAGAGATACAGGAGCGATCTGCCATTTCCTTCTCCAGCTTATTTTAACAATGAGGAAACTGAGGTCAACAGGGTGAAGTGACTTGCCCAAGGTCACACAGCTGAGGCTGGATTTGAACTCAGGAGGATGAGTCTTTCTGACTCTAGGCCCAGCGCTCTGTGCACTATGGCGCCCCCTAGCTGCCCCGGCACATGATAAGTGCTTAATAAATGCTGATTGACTATTCACTGACTGGCTGACAATCCCTTGACCAATCCTTTGGCATGCAAAGCCCTTCATAACCTGCCCTCTTCCAGGTCTCTTACCGCCTCCACCATGTTTTGCAATCCATTGACGCCGGCCACACCCTCTTCACCAACCTCCTGGCTGGTCCTTGCACAAGACACTCCATTTCATGACCCCAGTCATTTTCTCTGGCTGTGCTTCAAGCCTGGAACACGGTCCCTCCTCATCTCCACCCTCTGGATTACCCGACTCCCTTCGGATCCCGGCTAACCCCCTACTTTCCCCAAGAGCCTTTCCTGACCCTCCTGAAGGCTGGTGCCTTCCTTCTGTTGATCACCCCCAATTTCTTCTGCATCCACTTTGTTTGTCCCACTGTGGGTATGTTACGTCTAACCATCTCTCACTGCGTCTCCACTGTGAGCTACTTGAGGGCAGGGCTGGGTTTTCTGTTGTCTGGTTTTTTTTTTCTTTATGCCCATGGGGATTGGCACAGTGCCTGACACTAGGTACTTTATAAATGTTTGTTGACTGACTGACTGACCCCTACACTCCTTGCCGAAGACCTTGCAGTGGCTCTGTGTTGCCCAGGATAAAATGCAAGCTTCCCTGTTAGGTATTTAAATCCCCTACTTATCTTGGGCTAATCTTTCTTTTTTCTAAAAAAATTCATATCTGCTTCCATTTTATGGGAGAGTTTTAAATTTAAAAAATGATAAATAAATAATAGAAAATTCAATATTATTTTCTTCTCGGGTCCAAATTCTCTTCCTCTTCCTCCTTCCTCGCTCACCCACTGAGAAGGCAAGAACATGTGTAGTCATGCAAAACAAATTTCCCCATTCACCATGCTCAAAAAAGAAAGCTAAGAAAACATTCTTCAGCCTGTTCTCTGAGTCCATCAGCTTTCTGTCTAAAAAGTGGTAGCATATCTAACCTGTCCTTCTGTAATGGTTTCATATCACTCCCCCCAGTGGACTTTAAGGTCCAGTCAAACTGTCATATTGCTCCCATTGGACAATTTGTCTCCTACTTCTGCACCTTTGCCTAGGCTGTGCCCCATGCTTGGAAGGCTGTCTCCTCTCCTGTCCCTTTGTATTTGTTCCGCATATAGGTATTTGTGTGTGGCTGTCTCTCCCTAGAGTAGGGATCACCTCATTCTTTGTACTTGTATTCCCAGGGCCTCCTAGCGCCTGGCCCATAGCAGTAAGTGCAAAGTCAATGCCTGTTGACTGGCTGATTGCTTGCTTGGGATCCCTACCTCCTTCTGGGCTCAGCCTAGGAGCCCCCTTTCCCAAGCCCTTTGGGCATCCCCCCCAGCTCATTCTTCCTATGTTGCCTTCCCTTTACTTTCCTCCTCCCTGTAGAATGTAAACTTCTTGAGGGCAGGACCATTTTTTCCCTTTTATATTCGTTTCTCCATCTCTTAGAACAGTACCTAGCACCTAGCAAATACTTCACACGTGCTCTTGGATCAGAATGGGTTGATAACGTTTCCTGTGAGTGGGCATTGTGAACCTGAACAGGGTGAGGAAGGTTCCAAGTGGCCATGGAGGGAGAAGGTCACAGTGGCATCAGCACGGGATCATGGTAGGGAGGTTGATGGGGGGGGTAGTGAGGTAAAGAGGGGATGGGAACAGGAAAGGGGCAGTGAGAGGTCAGGGTTGGAATGTTGGATTAGTGGGGGCCAGTTGGAAGAATGTGTGAAAGATCAGTGGGAGCAGTGAGGAGTTAGGGTCAGTATAGAAGGACTGGTGGGAGGGTGAGGATCAGTAGACATAGGCCGGTGGGGAGTTAGGGTCAGTAGGGAGGCACCAGTGGAGGAGTGTGAGAGTTAAGGATCAGTACGGAGGAACCAGTTGGAGGATAAGGGTCAGTGTGGAGGAACTAATGGGGGTGTGAAGGTCAGCACAAAGGGCCAGTGGGAAGGGGGGGGTCAGTAGAGATGAGTCAGTGGTGAGGGGGGTTCAGTACGGAGGACCCTCCCCCCTCCTCACTCCTATTGGATCCGCATGAGGCTGCCGGGGAGTGTTCCTCTCTCCTCCTCCCGCCCCTGTCCTGAATGGGCGGACCTGCCCGGTGGGTGGGGCGGGACTGAGCGGTCTGGGGCGGGTCTAGAGCCTGAAGGAGCCGCACCACAGAGGCTGCAGGTGGGTCTCTTGCTCCGCAGCATCCCCTTCGTTCCCCCCCTCCCTGTCCCCACTCGTGGACTACCCACTCACAGCTCCCCGTGTTCCAACCTGTCCCCAACCCTGCTCTGGCCTGGGGGGCGACAGTAGGAAATATTTAGGATCGGGGGACAGCCGGGGCGGGCCCTAGGACTTGGGATGGAAAGGAGGAGGCCTGGAGCAGGTCTGGGACCCGGTGGGTGACTGGGCGCAGGACTGGACACAGCCGGGCTGTGTGGGGCTGTCTGGCAGCTCCGGAGCTGGCTGTGGTGCTGAGCGGCCCTGGGCGGCCACGGACTCCGCAGCAGCGTGGCCATAGCCCTGGCTGGCTTGGGGTAGGGTCCCCGGGAGGGTGGGTCTTTCCCCAGCACGTCAGGAGAATCTGACCTGAGCCCTTAGGGCGGGTCGGGGAGATCTGGAAAAGTTGAGGGACTTGTCCCCCACCCTGCCCCACCCGCGCCCCCCTTCCCACACCTGGCTAAAGAAGCAGCCTTGCTCTCGGTCCATGCCCAGTGACTGTCTATCCTCCAGCTTTCCCAGCTGGGAGCGAGGGGGACCCTCTTTTCATGAGACTAGATCGGGGAAACGAATGTCCCATCTGGGTCATTTTGCCGCTAAGGCCCTGGCCTGCCTGCCTGCCTGCCTGCCAACCTGACTCCATTTTGATCTCCAGGAGAAAAGCTGTCTCCTGGGCTGCTTTCTTTTCCATCCGCCACTGTCCTCCAACCGCACCTGCTCCACTCCAGCTTTCCCTTCTCCATCACGCTGTTCCTCCTCTCCACTCCCCAAACGCTAAACTTAGCCTAATCTGACAGTGATGGGGTGGGGGAGGAGGATGCAACCCCCAAGGGCTGCTTCTGTAGGCTCCTGCCTCCCCCTCTCCCTCTCGCTGAGCAATTAGTGCGGGAGGATGTGAGGGAGAAGGAAGGAGACTGGGGGCCTGAGGCCTGAATTGTAGATGAGCAGGGCATGAAGACTGCCAAAGAAGGGGGGAGGGGGCGAGGACAGCAGAGAGGAAGAAGGGAAGAGGTGTGAGAGGCAGGGTTAACCCTGGTGGAGAGGGGAGGGGAGGAGCTGGAAAACAGTGCTGGGCAGAAGTGAGGGACAAGGTTGAGGGGAGAGAGGGCAATGCCCAGGCAAGAGCTTGGAGGATGAAGGGGAGAGATGAAGGGTGTGGAAAGGTGGTGGCCGGGCACGGATTAGGCTGGGGAGAGGAAGGATGAAGACTAGGGACAGGTGGGATGGGGAGAGGTGAGGCCAGGAGGAGCGGGAGGAGAGGGAGAGTTGGGGGATGGGCAGGGATGAGGCTTTGCTTAAGGGGAAGAGAAGAGGATGGTAGGTAAGGATAAGGATGGAGTGGAGGGAAAAGCTGACGCACAGGGAGAGGTAGGTGGTGGGCAGGGATGGGGGCCAAGCAGAGTGTGGGCAGGGGTACATGGCAGTCCCTACAGGGACTTGGCCCACTGTCAGAAAGCACAGATGGCAGCTGCTACGGGCGCCTGGGAGATGCCCCTGCCCAGCAGCAGTGGCAGAGGTAGAGAGGCTGTTAGCTGGGGCTCCCCCTGTTCCTTGGAGAAAGGGGGAGGCTTCTGCCTTGCCAGTCCTGGCTGGAGTCAGTGACACACACTGAAGTCTCAGGTTTCTGTCCTGTTCCTTAGCTCCTGGTTTAGAGAGAAAGCCTCCCAAGGGGCCGGTTCTCTTTCCCCCAGCCTCATCCCATAGAAGGGCATCCCCACCTGCTCCCTCTCCTACTCAGAAAGAAATCTAGTCTAGTGCCCTCCCTTCCACTAGAGGAGAAAGAGACAGAGAGAGAGAGAGAGAGACAGAGACAGAGACAGAGAGAAAGAGAGAGAGACAGAGAGAGACAGAGAGAGATCAAAATCTGGCTTTCCCACCCTCTTTAAGGAAGAAATTCAGCCCTGACTGTGGAGAGAGGCCAGGCAGGCTGGTGAAACTGGCTGGGGCAGCTGGATCTGGTGAGGGGCTGCGTGTTTGTCCACATGTGTCTGGGAAGCAGAGTAAATTGAGTGGTGGGCTATCTCTGTGGACTGAGCAGCACCCTGGGCTCCAGCCCCATCCTCACGCCTTTCCTTCCTCTCAGCTCTCCCTCTCTCACTCCAGTCTACAGTGGTATACAAAAACTTCTCTGGCCCCTTCCTGCAGCTCAGATCTGCACTGGCTTAAGAGGGGGAACAGAGGAGGGCGCACTAGTCCTGACTTGAGAGACACCCCAATCAACCAATCCATCATTCGATCAGCAACAAACATTTCCTGTGCACCCAGCCCTGGTGATATAAATACACAGAATGAAAAAGCCTCTTCTCATCTTGAGGATCTTACCCTACATTCTACTGGGGGAGGTAGCAAGGACTGACACACATTGTATACACACATACACATATATAGACACACACACACACACGTATCTCTCCTGCAATATATAGTACATTCATGTATATACCTCTTGCAAATAAATATGCACACGTGTATATATATATATATATATGCCTCCTACAAATACCCACATGCAAATTTTATACGTGTGTCTGCATATGCATATGCATGTGTGTGTAAATGTTGTTGTTCAGACTGGTGATTTCATTTGTTCAGTTGACTCTTCATGACCTCATTTGGGTTTTCTTGGCAGAGATACTGGAGTGATTTGCCATTTCCTTCTCCAGCTCATTTTACAGATGAAGAAACAGGCCAACTTCCCTGGGGTCATCCAGCTAGTAAGAGTCTGAGGTCAGATTGGAAGTTGGGTCCTCCTGACTCCAGGGCCAGCACTCTAGCCACACACACACACACACACACACACACACACACACACACACACACCCCACCGCCTCGGCCATGGTAAACTTCTTGGAGGGTGTGGCAGGTGAGGCCAAGGATGGGCAGTCATGGTTGGCTTGGGGTCTGTAGCCTCAGAAGGCTTGCATCTCCTCATCCACTAGGGTGGATTCACTGAAGTGATGACTTGGGATGAAAAACTTTCCAACAGTCAGAGAGAGGTGTCCAAGAGAAGACTGGTCTGCTCCGGGCAGCGTGAACTCCTCATCACCAGAAGAGTTCAAGAGAGGGCTGAATGATTCCTTACCTGCCATGCTGTAGAAGGGTTTCCTCTTCTGGGGAAGTGAGGTGAGATGACATTTCAGGCTCCTCCCAATGCTGAAATTATGGGGGAGGATAGAATGGGGTTGGGCTAGCTTAGGCTCAGAAAAGGGCATTGCACTAGCCTGGGGATGGGACCAGTGGTCAAAGGAGAGAGGAAGCTGGGATTTCCCAACCTTCCTGGTGTTGGAAGCTTCCTTGAGATGACCTCGGCTTTACACTACATGTGTCTTGGATATTCTTAATTATTTGCATGATTATTAATGATTATTAACGATTTTTCTTTTCTTTGTATTCCTAGCACTTAACTCAGTGCCTGGTGAATAGTAAGCCTTAATAAATATTTGAGGACTCACTGACTGACTGACTTGCAACGGGTAAGGATAGGCTGGGTTCAGTGGAGGGCTGGGAGGGCCCACGTTTGGAGCTCAGACGCTCTCTGTTTTTTCTGCCTTGACCAGACAGGTGCTAGCTCTGTGCCCCTCCTCCACCTCCTCCTTGCCCAGGCCCTTGGGCCCTGCCGCTGGCTCAGCATGGCGTGGGGGCTGCCCAGTGCCGCCAGCCTGGCCCGGCTCTGCCAGAAGCTCAACCGGCTGAAGCCATTGGAAGACACCATGATGGAGACGTCCCTGAGGCGCTGCCTGTCTACGCTGGACCTGGCACTGCTGGGCATTGGAGGCATGGTGGGCTCGGGCCTCTACGTGCTCACAGGCACAGTGGCTAAAGAACTGGCAGGCCCGGCGGTGATCATCTCTTTTGCTGTGGCTGCCGTGGCCTCACTGCTGGCAGCCCTGTGCTATGCGGAGTTTGGGGCACGCGTGCCACGCACGGGCTCAGCCTACATGTTCACATACGTGTCCATGGGCGAGGTCTGGGCCTTCCTCATTGGCTGGAATGTGCTACTGGAGTACATGATCGGGGGTGCTGCCGTGGCCCGCGCCTGGAGCGGCTACCTGGATTCCATCTTCAGCCACCACATCCGGAACTTTACGGAGACCCACGTGGGCGTGTGGCAGGTGCCCTTCCTCGCCCGCTACCCAGACTTCCTGGCCGCGGGCATCCTGCTGATCGCCGCCGCCTTTGTTTCTTGTGGGGCCCGTGTCTCCTCCTGGCTCAATCACATCTTCTCTGCCCTCAGCCTAGGCGTCATTGTCTTCATTGTCATCCTGGGTTTCGTGCTGGCGCAGCCCAGGAACTGGAGCACACAGGAGGGTGGCTTTGCCCCTTTCGGCTTCTCAGGCATCCTGGCGGGCACAGCCACCTGCTTCTACGCCTTTGTGGGCTTTGATGTCATCGCTGCCTCCAGTGAAGAGGCCAGGAACCCCAAGCGGGCAGTGCCCATGGCCATCGCCATCTCCCTGAGCCTGGTGGCCGGTGCCTACATCCTGGTGTCCATGGTCCTGACTCTGATGGTGCCCTGGCACAGCCTGGACCCCGAGTCGGCCCTGGCTGATGCCTTCTACCGGCGTGGCTATGGCTGGGCTGGCTTCATTGTGGCTGTGGGATCCATCTGCGGTGAGTGGCAGGAGGGAGGAGGGATGCCATCTAGCCCTGGGTCTTGGGCCTGACCAGCATCCTGGTTCTCGTGGGGTTCCCTCAGCTCGGCCATAGGCCCAGTGAGGCCTGTCTAAGGCTCCAGTGGGGCTCACTAGCCTTGTCATGGTTTTTTTCAGCAAGGTTCACCCCTCTGCCCTCCTCTGTGGTCAAGCAGGCCTGGCCGTGACAAGACCTTCTAGGGCAGTCTGACCACAGGTCCAAGTAAGGGGTGAATTATGCCACAATAACCACCAGATGGATGACCTGAAATGTAAAAGGTCAGGTCACGAAGGAGGCCGCCAAGGGCACATTTCATAGAGCTCTGGGTCTGGAGTCATGAAGACCTGAGTTCAAATCCTGCCTCAGACATTTGCTAGCTGTGTGACCCTGGGTAAGTCACTTAACCTCTCTGGGTCTCAGCTGCTTCATCTGTCAGATAGGAGATAGTCCCTATCTCCCATGGTCATTGTGAGGATGAAATGACACAACACGTGTGAAGCCGTTTGGAAAATGTAAAGCTTTATAGAAACATTAGCTAGACGATGATAATGATGATGATGAAAATCAGAGATCAGGAGACAGCTATCACAACTGTGAATTAACCAAAGCAGGGAGAGTGGAGATTTTAAGAGTTGAAATAGACCATTTCGATTACACGAAAGCAAAAAGGCTTTTATATGAGTAAAATCAATATAGCTACAATAAAAAGAGCACCCATAGAATAGGAAAAAAACAACCTGGGCCTCAAATATATTTAATAAAAGTCTGCTTTGCAAGGTGTGTTGGGAATTTGACACAGATATTTAAGAACCGTTTCCCAATGGATACGAAGAAAGAGAGAGAGAGAGAGAGAGAGAGAGAGAGAGAGAGAGAGAGAGAGAGAGAGAGAGGGAGAGAGACAGAGACAGAGAGAGAGGTGGGGGGAGGAAATGGAGAGACAGAGAGAAGCAAGCAAACAACAAAATGAGGATTGGGCGGTGAATGGTGGGAAGCATGAGGCAGTTCACAAGCCTCTTCAAAGACTGTCATAGGGTCACGGGGCTTAGAAAACACCTAGTCCAAACCCATCATTTGACACATGGGGATGCCAAGGCCTGGACAGGTTGAGCAAGGGCTCCTGCCTGCCACTTTCCTTTCGAGGGCTCTCCTTGACCACAGAACCTAAGACAGCTAGCTGGGTGTCACAGTAGATGGAGTGTTGGAGTCAGGAAGACCTGACATCCGAACTGGCCTCAGACAATTAAGTAGGTATGTGGCCCTAGGCAAGTCGTGTACTCTGTCAGCCTCAGTTTCCCCCTCTATAAAATGGGAATGATAATCACACTTATCTCAAAGGGTTCTTGTGGCAATCTATTGAGATATTATAGATGTGTGTGTTTTATTATTATTATTAACCTATAGCAGCCAGGTGGGGCTTGGGGGAGGAGCAGCAGCTCTCCAGGGACCCGGATGCCAGTGGCCCTGCCTTAAGGAGACAGCCAAGCTCCCTGCCCTGGCCCAGCTGGGTTTGCCCCTGACTTCCGCTTCCCCTTCCCCACTCCTACTCTGAGCTGACCTGGTTCTGGGCCTCTCCCACAGCCATGAACACTGTTCTGCTCAGCAACCTCTTCTCTCTGCCAAGAATCATCTACGCCATGGCCGCTGACGGGCTCTTCTTCCAGGTGTTTGCCCACGTGCACCCCAAGACCCAGGTGCCGGTCGTGGCCATCGTCGTGTTTGGGAGCCTCACGGCAGTGCTGGCCCTGATCCTGGACCTCGAGGCCCTGGTCCAGTTCTTGTCTATTGGGACTCTGCTGGCCTACACCTTCGTGGCGGCCAGCATCATTACCCTTCGCTTCCAGAGAGCCCCGGCCTCTGGCTCGCCACCCGCCCTAGCCAGCCCGGGCCCCCCCTCCAAACAGTATGAGTCCTTCTCCGACAGGCTGCAGCTGGTGGGGGCCACCCAGGCCGAGGCCCCCGAGCCAGGCCAGCTCAAGCTAGCCTGGCGGCCCTACCTGCCCTTTTTGAGTGCCCGCTGTGGCTCAGGGGCTTCTGTGACCTGGGCCTTGGGGGGCCTCATGGTGTCTGCCATCGGGCTCAACTGCGTGCTTCTCTTTGGGGATTCCCCCTTGCGCCTGCCCCGCTGGTGCTCTGCCTTCCTTCTGGTCCTCTGCAGCCTGGCCTTTCTGTGCAGCCTCCTTGTCCTCAGTGCCCACCAGCAGCAGCCAGGCCAGGACACTTTCCAGGTAACCCCCCTCCCTCCACTGCCTCAGCTCTTTTCCCCTCCCTTCCAAGAACCATAGTCCCTGCCCTCAAGGAGCTTCCATTCTAGCAGGGGAGGCACTATGTCAATGACTAGACACATACACAGCGGTCTGAAGGCAATCTTAAATGGAAAAGGTATTGGCAGCTAGGGGGTTTGGGGAAGGCCTGCTGCAGAAGGTGGGATTTCAGCTGAGTCTTGAAGGAAGTCAGGAGTGAAGGTCAGTCACTCAGTCAGCAAATAGGCTTTTATTAAGCATTTATGTACCAGGCACTTCTGCTAAGTACTGGGCATACAGAAAAAGGGCAAAAACAAGGTCCTTGCTTGCCCTCAAGGAGCTCACAGTCTAATGGGGGAGACAACATGCAGAAGACCAGGTACAAACAAGCTATCTGCAGGATAAACTAAAGATAACCACAGAGGGAAGGCTCCAGTGTTAAAAGGGGCTGGGGAAGGCTTCCTGTAGAAGATAGGATTTTAGCTTGGGCTTAAAGGAAGCCAGGGAGGTCAGAAGTCAGAGCAGAGGAGGGAGAGTGTCTCAGGCATGGGGGATGGTCAGAGAGACTGCCCAGAGCAGAGAGGGTCTTGTTTGTGGAATAGCCAAGAGGCCAGTATCACCAGAGCAAAGAGAACATGTTTGGGAAGGGGGGGTAAAGTATAAGAAAACTGGAAAGAAGGGTCAAGGTTATGGAGGGCTTTGAATACCGAACAGAGCATTTTGTATTTGAACCTGGAAGTGATAGGGAGTCACTGGAGTTTGTTGAGTAGGGGCTGACATGGTTGGATCTGCACTTTAGGACAAATCACTTTGGTATCTGAGTGGAGGATGGATTGGAGGGGGAGAGACTCAAGGCAGGCATAGCTCCCCTTTCCCATCCCCCACTCCCAGCAGCTATTGCCGTAGGCCAGATATGAGGTGATGAGGGTCTGCCCCAGGGTGGAGGCAGTGTCATAGGAGAGAAGAGATTTATATATGCAAGAGATGTTGCAAAGGTGGGATGGACAAGAGGTGTGCAGAGGTGAAATGGACAAGAGATGCTGCAGAGGTGAAATGGACAGATGTTGCAAAGGTGGGATGGACAAGAGAATGACTGAGCAGATCACACCCCCACCTACCCAGTTCCCCTCTCCCACTCTCTCCCCACTACCCCACTACCCCATGCTTCAGCCTTGCCCTCTCCCCTGTCTCCCAGATCCCTTGGGTGCCCCTGACTCCAGCCCTGAGCATCCTTCTGAATATCTGTCTCATGCTGAAACTGAACTATATGACCTGGCTTCGCTTTGCTATCTGGATGCTGGCAGGTGAGTCTCCCAGTGAGCTCCAGCTTCTCATCCTGAGGGGGCTGATGGGGTCTCTCCAGGGCTGGGAACCATTGTTATCTCCACACACCACTGCCCTTCAATGCAGCAGACATCCACTGTGGGCCAGGTGTTTTGTGAGGCCTTGGAGATGCAAAGAGAAAACTGAAATGTCCCTGGCCCTCAAGGGGCTTCAGGTCTACATTCTGTCCCTGCCCTGAGGAGGCCTTATCCCCTTCAAATGAACTGTCACCATTTCACTATCTGGTTGGGGCTCACTTTGGGGAGGGGAAAGGGAGCAGAGAGTGGAAGCCTTCAATAAACCTTCCAAGTCTATCTGGTCTGATCTGGTCTGGCTGGACCCTCCCCTCATGCCTGGCCAGACTTCACCTCATCTCAGGCAGGCCCAGGCCTCCTGGGGAGCCTAACTGTCCTATCCCCCTGCAGGGCTTGGCGTCTACTTTGGCTATGGAATCAGGCACAGTAAGGAGAACGTGGAGGACCCTCCAGGTTCAGGCAGCACCCGCTATGTGGTATTCCCCAGCGGGAGCCTGGAGGAGACGGTGGAAACAGTGCAGCCCCCCGACCAGGCCAGCTCAGGTCCTCCTCCCAGCGCTGACAGCCCCAGCCCAGGGAGCAGTGGCTGATGCTCAGCAGACTGTTCAGAATGGCCCTCACTGCCAGGGGCTGGCAGGCCTGGCCCCTCCTCTCCCAACCCTTACACCTCTCTCCCAGCATCCTTGGAGCCTCCCTCTGGGGGGAAGGAAGAATATTGTGGGGGAGAGTGTCTTCAGCCACCCGCCTTCCCTGCTCTCCTCCTGTTGGCCTGACCCTGAGGCCCCTACAACCAGCCATTCTGGAAGTGGCCCATAGCTGTCTGTCTGGGGTGGGGCATGGGGGGCAGAGGGCTGGGGAAAGCGCCCCACTGGGAGCCCTCGTTCCCAATGAGTAATGTGCAAGGGCCCAGAAGGCTAGGAGAAGTTTGGAAAGGGAAGTCTGGAAAGGGTGGTGACTGATTATAGGCAATTAGCCATTTTCTTTGCTGGTGCCGTATGCCATTGAGACAGCTGGTGCCTATCATCTGGGCTAAGTGAAGAATATTAATAATGATGCCAACGACCCACACTGAACTTTCTGTCTTTGTTCTCAGCGGGGGTGGGGGGATCCAGAAAAGGGAAGAGCCAATACTTAACTGCTCATGTTCCACCCCCAAGGCCTGAGGTCTCTCTCCCTGGCTGTCTAAGCAGCCACACCTCAATCCATGCACGAATAAGTGCTTACTGCATCAGGTACCCTGCATCGGTCACTGGGCACACAACGATGAAACATCTGTTTGCTTCTGAGGGATCCAGCCTCTCCCTTTGTTTGCTGTGGGGATGAGTCATAAGCATAGCCCACAGTCAGTGAGGTGAGCGTTTGGAAAGGGCCCCCTTTGCTCCAGGCCCTGGGCTGAGCACCTGGCTACGGAAGAAGGCCGAAAAACCCAGTCCCTGCCCTCAAGGGACGCACATTCTGACAGGGCGGACAAGGTGCAGATAACTAGGGTGTGCAAGCTATATCCAGGGTAGAGGAAAGCTAAGCTCCGTGTGTGTGTGTGATCTATGCATGTGCACGGGTATGATCTGGGATCAGGAAGGCCTCGTTCACAAAGTGGGAGAAGAGTTGGGTTTGAGCCCTTGCTCCACCTCTTCCTAGTCACCAAGTTTCACATCTGGGAAGCCTCAGTTTCCTCCTCTGTGAAATGGGAAGCATCCGTGTCCGCCCCCCAGTCCCTCAGGATCGGAGCCCAGGTATCAGCCTCAGCGCCTCACGTACCTCCTTCTCCGCAGCCAGCAGCCAGTCAGGAGCCGCGTTCACAACGTTTCTGGTACACGCCCCCTCATCTCCATGCTGTTCTGTCCTGCTGCACGATTGCAGCCCCTCCCGCCTGGACCGCAGCACCAGCTGCTGGGGGCTCTGGCGCTCGGGGCGCCCCGCCTTCAGCTCTCACCTGTCAGACGGATCTTCCCAAAGCAGGTCTGACCACGTCACCCTCCTCCGTTCAATCAGTCCTGGTGGCTCCCTGTCATCTCCAGGATCAAACAGAAGACCCCTGCGCCCCCTTGTCCCTCTGCCTCCTGACTTCTTCGAGGCCCCGGGAAAGCCTCAGCTAACGGAAGAAGCCCTTCCCCATTTCCTTGTGCCGACCACCACCACTTCATACGTATCTGCAACTGGCTTGTTGATGCCTAGTAGCACATGTTAATTCCCCATTAGACTCTGAGCGCCTAAGAGGAGGGACTATTTTTTTGCCTTTCTTTGTATTCCAAGAGCTTAGAGCAGAGCCTGGCACATGGTAGGAGCTTAATGAATGTTAGTTGATGGTTTGACTGTAGGAGAACCAATCTCTCTCTCTGTCTCTCTTTCTCTATGTCTGTCTGTCTGTCTGTCTGTCTGTCTGTCTGTCTGTCTGTCTCTCTCTCACACACACACACACACACACAGAGTTATTGGGGGGAGGTGACTCCCCATTTCTGTCGGAACCCCTGACTCCTGTCCCTGCTCCCATCACAGACCACCTCTGCCTCCTTTACTGCTCCCAGAGTTAAGCAAGTCTTCTTCCATGGTTCAGGTGCCTTTTCTTTTGGGGCTCTTTGGGGCACTGGCTCACTGGCTGCCCCCAGAATTCTGGCCTTTGGACTCCGAGTGGGCCAAACAGCACAGGAAGGAAATGAGCTTTATAGGGATCCCTGGGAGTCCCTCACAATAGGGAGGCATCACTGCAGCCCCAGAAATAGTACTAGCCTTTCTTACAACCTAGGGTTCAACCACAGATCAGACTGGGCCCCGACCGTGTTCCCAAACTCACCCCCATAAGGGAAAGTGGCTTGAGCTGGACCTTCACCTACCTGGGCCTCAATGTAAGCTAAGGCAGCTGCTCTCCAAGTCTAGTCTGGGGGCCCCTGAGACCTTCTGGGGTCCTTCTATGGTCAAAACTATTTTCTTATAAGACTAAGCTGGTTTCATTTCTATTATGATCTATAAGCAACAGCTACAACGCACATAGACAAAAACTGGGAGGTGGGATGCTGTAACTTGGTGAGCGTGAAGAGGCCATGCACACAGGTAGGGCTGAGGTCAGCATGCTTAGCAGTCTGTCACCAACCCCAGAGAGGGCAAGTGACGTGCCCCAGGTCACCCGGACGGTAAGGCAGAGGCGAGATGTCCACAGAGGGAGTCTCTCTCCATTGTGCAGGCGTTAATCCACGCATCCAGCTCCCACGTGGCTTCTGTGATTTCCTCGGCGCTCCTCTTGTCTCTCCCCTGCAGGGCTGCTTGACAAGCAGTTGATGACCTGAATCAGATTGATCGGGTAGCCTAGCAACTACCTTGGGGTCTGGTGTGGGCCAAACTGTTTCCCCCTCTGGACCTCAGAAACCTCATTTGTCAAATGAGGGGTCTGGAGGTGAGGACCTGAGTTTGAATCTCTGCGTTTGCCACTTACAATCTGTGTGTCTTTGGACGAGCATGCCTCAGTTTCCCCATCTGTAAAAATGAGGGGATTGAATGAGATGAGTTATGCAATGGAGAATGCTAGATTTGGAACCAGAGGATCTGGGTTCGAATCCCTGCATTTGCCACTTACTGCCTGTGTGTCCTTGGACAAGTGTGCCTCAGTTTCCCCATCTGTAAAAATGAAGGGATTGAATGAGATGGGCCCCAACGTCCATGTCCCTATAGCCCTATGAGCTCTAAGGTCCTTCCCCGGGAGAATCTGCATATCGCAAGGGCGAGTTTCAGGGGTCCCATGCCCCTCTCTCACTCTAGGGGGCCTCTGAACCCTGACTCTTCATACGGGACCTCGCCTCCATGACGTCACAGGCCACGGCGCTCCAGGCCTTTAGCCCGAGACTTCCTCGCGCATGCTCCGTGACGGCGCGCCTTTCCCGCGGGCCGCTGGACTACATTTCCCGGCACACCACGGTCTTCCGGAGGACTCGCCGGAAGTTCCGGAGGCATCCCGGAAGTGGGGCCGCGCGGGCCGCCGGGCCGGCTGTCCCGGAAGGGCTGAGCGCAGGAGCCGAGGTGGGAGGAGCGCCGGGAGCCTGGGCTCGGGGCAGACCCCGGGGCAGACCCCGGCCCCGACCCCGCCGCCGCCATGGGGAAGCGGCAGCACCAGAAAGATAAGATGTGAGGGCCTGCCCGCGATCTTCAAGCGCTCCTCGGGGCTCCGGAGGGGGCGGAAGGGGGCTGAGGGTGCTTTGAGATCCCCGGGCTGGGAGGGGGGCGGGGCAGGGCTCCGGGAGAGAGACCCCCCTACCCAGCCTCCACATCGTGCCGACCGGGTAGCGAAGGCCCCCAGAAGTGGAGCAGCGCCGGCCGGCACCCCTGGGCTCTTCTTGACAGATGAGGAAACTGAGGCAGGGCAGGCGCAGGCGGCGTGGTGCAGGGAGCCCGCGGGCGGACCCAGGGGAGACCCCCGGCTACGCCGCCTGGCTGGGTCTCAGTTTCCTCGTCTGTAAAACCAGGGGCTGCGCTGGGCCTGGTGTGCTCGGCCCCCTGCCTTGGACCCGTCCTCCTGGCCGGCCCCGGGGGCCCCGGGCTTCCCCCGGCCCCAGCCATGATCCGGCTTCGGCCCAGGGCTCGTCCGGGTCCTCCCCCCGGTCCTCCTCGGCCCTTCCCCCCTGCTCGCCCTGGCGCTTCCTGTCGCCTGGCTCTCTTCCCGCTAGACTGTAAGCTCCTCGAGGCCAGCTGTGGGACCGGAGAGCTGGATGCAGGCGGCCAGAGCGGGGCTGGGTCTGGAACCCGGGCTGGATCTAGAACCCTGGAAGCTGGCCCAGCGCGGGGTGACCCTTGCCTCTTGTCTCTCTTTCAGGTACATCACGTGCGCTGAATACACGCACTTCTATGGGGGCAAGAAGCCGGGTGAGTGCCCAGAAAGCCGCCTTCTGACCGGGGGCTGGGGAGGTGGGGTTGGGTCCTCGGAGTCTTCATTCCCCGTGATCTTGGAGCCTCGGGCCTAGTTGTGGGTCAGGCTGGAGGGTGAGCCGGGGACCCCCGTCTCTGCTGTCCATTCCCTCTTACTCAGGCAGCCCTTATGTAGGGCTTACTACACACAGGGCACTCTGTTAAGCTCTGAGAACATAGACACAGGCAAAAAGATGTGGCTGCCCTCAAGGAGCTTACCTTCTTGGAGGAAGACCGAAAGTAAAAGGGGAGGGCAGCATGATGGGAAAGGAAGGTCAGGTCCTCACCACCAGCTGCCTGGACTGCAACTGTAGCCTTCCTGCCTCTGGGTTCTCTTCACTTCATCTTCACATAGTTGCCTAAGTAATCTTCCTGAAGTGGTCACTCCTTCCCCAGTAACCTGCAGTGGCTCCCTAGTGCCTCAGGGATCAAGTATAAACTCCTCTGTTTGGCTTTTAAAGCCCATTCCAAGCTGGTCCCTGCCCACCTTTCCTACCTCATCGTCCATCCTTCCCCTTCTGCAGCTCTGCTGGCCAATCAGACTGGCCTTTATGTCGTTTAGCTCACGTGATGCCTCATCTCCCACCTCTGTGCCTTTGCACTGGCTGTCCCCGTTGCCTGGGATGCTTCTCCTTATACCTGCCTCAGAATCCCCCCCCTCCTTCCTTCCATCCTTCCCACCCTCTCTCCCAAACAGTCACTATTTATTCTGTGCTTAGACAGGTATACCTTGTCTCCTTTGAGAAAAGTACACACCTTGAGGGCAGGGACTAGTCCATCACATAGTTGGTGCTTAATAAATGCTTGCTGAGTGCTGAAGTTGAAAGGTTAAGTCACTTGCCCGAGTCTTCATAAGTGGGAAGCTCTCCTGGGCCCCTCCCACCCCCAGCCTTTGTCTAGACAGCTACAGGGTGAGGCCTAGTCTGGGCAGGCCAGCTTCTTTGTCTGTTTCCACTGTGCCTTGTATACATAGGTGCTTAATTCATGCCTGGGGCATCCAATTGCTCTCAAGTCTAAAGAAGGCTGGCAGCAACCACAGGCTGTCTAGACCAACCCCTCATTTTATATAGGGTGAAAGAAGCCCAGACAGGGGAAGGGGCTTGTCTGAAGTCATGTAGGTGGTGTACAGCAGGGCTAGGATTCCAGGGACACCCTTCTGGCCTGTGTGGTGAGGAAGTGTCAG